TCTAATTTTGTGAGATAATTTTTTTCCGAATTTTGTTTTGTTAATTTTCTGTTTGTGACATTCAAATAAGGTTAATGTTCATATCAGATTCAGTCTTCAGTGTTAATTTACCATTGCAGGCCACTGTTGCAAATCTGCAACATCCCAGAATTCATTGCATGTGAAGGTCTCTCTCAAAAAAAGCCTGAATTGTATATTACTACCCCATATGATTATTTTCTCCAAATATCAGATTTTTCCTGCAACTACAACTTAATTTGAGCCTGAGAGGGTTAAAGCTAGTCAAAAAAGTGTGTCTGATCTTGTTTTGAGAATAATAAGCAAGAGCAGATTGTAATATTGAGTCAATGTTACTTAATGTTAGTGCACCAAATTGCAAAGTCATGATTTATATCCTCAAAACAATCCTGACAAAGTGTAATTTTCTGATTTATCTGGTCAAAACACAAGAAAATACACCCATATTCAAAAAAAGATTTAATTATTAATCTTACAGATTAATAATCTGTAAGATTAAGACTTTCTTAGTATATCTATTTCAAAACAAGAGCAAAAATGCCTTTTGGTTAGATCTAAGACTTGGTTAGATGGAGACTTTTTCTACTCAGAGTCCTGGCCGTAATCTCCTGGAACACCTCTGGGTTGAATCAGAGCAGAGGCTGGGATTCTGGTTTTAGCATTTAACCACAAACACTGAGGAAGATGTTAACAGAACAGATAAAGCGCCTATTGCTTGGGACAGGGTCCATCAGCAAAACTGAGCCCTTAGATTAAGAAAGGATGCAACAATGGAAAAAAGAAGTGTCTAATTACAAGCTTAAAAAAAACTTAAACTGAGGTAGAATAAAATGAGTGGTGTTACCTGTCTCTGCACCTAGATCATTTCAATCGACAAGAGTTATTAGAATAAGATCAGACTGTAAAGTTGGGAGACTTGAAATGAAAAAAAATTATCTCTAAAAAAAAAGTGAAATGATCTAAAACTTGTCTTATCTTGATTAGAACTGATTAATTTGCAGTGCAGCTTAACAATGCAAAAACAATCTACAAATAAGGAAGAATTTCTTAAATCAAGTGCATTTACCCTTAATTTTAGTAGGTAAATAAGATTATTTGCCAATGGCATTAGTTTTCTTTACTCTTAAAATAAGATAGAGATAATATGCACTTGAAATAAGACTATGTAAAAATTGTTTTCTTATTTTAAGTGTCAATTGTCTTATCCATTGGCAAAGTGTCTTACCTCCTCAGTTCAAAAAAGAATGCACTTAATTAAGAAATAATGACTTATTTAGATATCATTTTTTGCACTGTACTGCTTTTTAACTTTACTTTTACTAAAGTAAATTTAGGGTAAAGCATCACTTCTCCTGCTTAAGTCATTTAAAGTTCAGGCTCCTCTACATGTGAGTTAATGAAATATGCTGGTGAAGATTCTCAGTCATCCAAGTCATAGTACGGTAATTCCAAAAAATAGAAAATGAAAAACAATCCACTGGACTTTGTTTCCAAGTTTGAAGACGTTTCCCTTCCCATCAGGAAGCTTTTGCAATTTGCATGTTTTCAAAACAAAAACAAGTTTTTTGGGGGCTACTGTATAAAACCTCAAACTCAACGCTCTTCCTGACATTTGAACTGAAAAAGCTTCCTTTTTGGAATGGTTAA